AGGATAGCTGGGAAGATTAAAAAACTCGTGCTGGCGCCTTTCATCCTCCAATGACACATTTCTTTAACTGAAAAAAGGCTCTTTTTTTCTGATACTCCTGTAGCCCCAGTAACCATAGTATGAGTTTTAGACAGAGGCCCCACTGGTTCTGTTACCACCGAATGCTTAGCACCTGTATCTACCATGAAATCTATTTGTTGGCCCCCCACCTTAACCCTGACCATAGGCTCCTAGGGACCTAGAGAAATGGAGGCCGGTCTGTTTCAGAATTCATAGCTGTCCACCCCAGCCAAAGCAATTAAGGCTGTATCCTGATTATTTGGGGCCTGCTGGCTTGCTGCTGCTGCCACTGGCCCAGGTATTGCATGGGGATAAAACCGGTGGCTATATGGGGCACCTGATTTTCATAGACTGCCCTTTCAGGGCACTCATCCTTTCAGTGTCCTTCCTCTTTGCACATCACACATTGATTTCTCTAGTCTGGGCTGGGTTTCAGACTCCTGTCTAGCCATACCTCTTTCTCGCCCTCTTCCACGTCCTCCTCCATGCCCTCTCTCATACCCCAGCTCCTCTCTCTTTTTTTTTTTTTTTTTTTTTTGAGATGGAGTTTCGCTCTTGTTGCCCAGTCTTGAGTGCAGTGGCGCAATCTCAGCTCACTGCAATGTCTGCCTCCCGGGTTCAGGTGATTCTCCTACCTCAGCCTCCCAAGTAGCTGGGATTACAGGCATGCACCATTATGCCAGTTAATTTGTAATTTTAGTAGAGATGGGATTTCTCCATATTGGTCAGGCTGGTCTCAAACTCCTGACCTCAGGTGACCCGTCCGCTTTGGCCTCCCACGGGGCTGGGATTACAGGCGTGAGCCACCTTGCCCAGCCTCCTCTCTTAACTAAGGCAGCTGCTAGTAAGTCTGCTTTTGCTTTGCCCTACACCTTGCCTTTATCTCAGCCTCTTCTTCCCGATTGTAAAACACCTTTGTAGCCCCTTGTATGAGTTTACTGGCATTTTTGCCCTCAGATTCTTTTAGCTTTTGTAATTTCCGTTTCAATCTTTTATTGCCGGGCTCACTTTTATTCCCGAAGTCTGTATCTCCTTTGTGCTTTCTCCTTCCTTCTCTCCTCACATTTGCCGTTTCACTTGCTGTTACATTAGCTTGACAGCTTTTTCTTACACTGTTCACTTTATCTCAGCTGCTTGAGCCAGTTGCCCCACACACAGCCGCACAGCCGGCTCTCTCCTGCCTTCAGGGTCAGCAGTTTAACTCTTTTTCTCTCTGATTTTTCTTTTTACTTTTTTTTTTTTTTTTTTTTTTAACATACTGGGGCTTGCCCTGGAATGCTGTAGCCACTGCTTACGCCCACGGGGGGTGGCCTCCTTGGGGCAGAGGCGGCCAGGTAGGGGGTGCTGTTCTTGCCTGACCTTCAAGGTTCCCAGCGCGCAGCCCTGGACCATCCTACTGCAGCTATGGCTGCTGCTCAATCAGGCTGTCCTGGCCCCTCTTGCCACCATGGCTAGCCCCCACCCAGTGTGAGTGGGCAGTGCCGCACAGGGGCGGTCCGATGGGCGTTCCTGCTGTACTGCTCCATGCTCAGTCTCAGCCCTTCCCAGCGCTTCACAGGCACACGTCTGGCTCTGGCCCTGGTGCAGTCACTCTCTGCGCCTGCGACTTGCCTTCTTGAGGCCCGCCCCTGACGGGCAGCTGGCAGAGCCCCACCTCATGTTTGAGTGGTCCTTGCAGGCCCCCTCGTGGCAGCCCCAGGGGGGCTCTCACCAGGGCTTTTGTGGGGCTGTCTTGGCCAGTGCCGCTTCTCTACTTTCCTGATTCTGCTGCTGGTGGGGGGAGGGGGGTCTTAGCTCTTCTGTCTCCCCCTGCACGGGGCTTGTCTGTCCCCTACCCCCTAGTCATAGGTGGTGGAGGCGGTGGCCTGGGCTCTGCTCTCCTTACCCGCTTAGTCCTAGGCAGCGGAGGCAGAGGCGGTGGCCTGTTTGATCGCCTTGACTTTCGTCTCTAGCGTCCTGGGGCAGGGGCTCAGATTCCACTCTGGGAGTGTAGCCTGGGGTGTGTCACCATCCTAGCCTGGCTGCTCAGGGGCTGGGGGCATTTCTTTCTCCTCTGGCGATTCCTGCAAAATCAGTTTTCTCTGTGGCTTTTCCTTTGTCTCTGAAGCTCCGGGCAAAGCTGATTTTTCTTTCATGCTGGGCTCATGCTCGGGCTCCATTGTTTTGCAATAAGCTGCTAGACAGGTCTGCAGCCATGCAGCTTGGGTTTGAATTATATTCAGCCATAAGTCGATATAAGGGAACTGGTCCAGATGCCCTGGCTGTCCTCCGACCCTGGTCACCACCTTAAATAGACAGCTAGGTGTTTCCTTGACTGTCCTCACGTGACCACTAGTTCTTCAGCTGGCCATCCAACACCAGAAGAAGGCCATTCTAATTCACAAAGAGTTCTCAACCTTTGAGGAATTAGTTTCACCCCATAGTCTCCCCCAAAGCCCTTCTTAAAATTTCTTAATGTGTATTTCAATGGTGTTACTTTTGAAACCTTTCCTCCCATCTCCTCCTTTTGTGATGCATAATTACCTCCACCTTCACTTTGGACTGGTTAAGCTGTCCCCCGTCACAGTAGGAGTGGGTATTTCAGGCGCTGCTTGGCATTGGAGAGTTCCAGTACCTAGATCGTGGGGCACCTCCTGAAGCCGTATGCGAAATCGCCCCTGGCTTTGGCTGGCCCCACACTTCACTCAAAGCGTACAGTCCATGCTAAGGGACTTGTGGCTCCCATGTGTCACTCCCTGCATCAGCTCCTCCCGGAGGCGTCTCTCTCACCCACTTTCACACACCTCCCCCCTTTCCATATATCTTGTGCTTTCCCTTTAAAAACTGACTTCACTTGCCTGTAGGAATGTGAGTTTCATCCACATCAGCAATTCACTCTTGCCTCCCCCAGTCTTACGGGGCAGGATTGATAGTCACTTCCAGGACTTGATCTGTTTTCTGCCCTCTTGGGCAAGTTCTTCTTTTCTTTTCTTTTTTTTTTTTTTTTTTTTTTTTTGAGACGGAGTTTCACTCTTGTTACCCAGGCTGTAGTGCAACGGCGTGATCTCGGCTCACCGCAACCTCCGCCTCCTGGGTTCAGGCAATTCTCCTGCCTCAGCCTCCTGAGTAGCTGGGATTACAAGCACGCGCCACCATGCCCAGCTAATTTTTTGTATTTTTAGTGGAGACGGGGTTTCACCATGTTGACCAGGATGGTCTCGATCTTTTGACCTCATGATCCACCTGCCCCGGCCTCCCAAAGTGCTGGGATTACAGGCTTGAGTCACTGTGCCCAGCCTCTCTTACCTTTTCTCCTAAGGCTTTACCATAATTCCTGAAGTATATTGGTCTTGGAGATCATTCTGTAACCCCTTAGGTTTCGTTGTGCTGTCAGGGAGGGGCACTGGGTTGTGGGAGCGCCGCTCCCTTGGGTACAAGTTTACCTGATGGCACACCTGAGGTCATGAGTTTCCCCTGGCTTGGGGCCCGATACCTGCAGGCAAAAGAGACAGTAAACCTATCGTCTCTGCTCCTGGCTGACTTAGCAAATCATGTTGCAGATATCAGGAGACCAGAGAGACCAATGGGTGAAACGGAGGATTTTATTTAGGTGTACCAGCTCAGTGGATTCGAATCCAAAAATTGAGCAAAAGATACAGAAAATGGGATACGTTTTTTTTAAACGGGGTTTCTCCATGTTGGTCAGGCTCGTCTTGAACTCCCGAACTCAGGTGATCCACCCACCTCAGCCTCCCAGAGTGCTGGGATTACAGGCCTGAGCCACCATTGGGCTGAAAATGGGATATTTTTTGTACATTCAGGATGAGGTAGCAGCTAACAGGTTTACAGAAGCCAGAACAAAGAACAGTTAATTACTTTGTTGCATGTCTTGTGATGTATGTTACATTTGAAAAACAGCATTTTGAGAAAAGCATTGTACATTCTTTCGATGTTACCTTGTCTTGTGACCTTGCAGCTGGTCAGCAAGAAAAGTAGTCTTGAGATGCCTGGGAACTTTGCTGAGAATGTGGGGAGAATAGTAAGGTAGGTTTTATAGGGAGTTAGTTAATTTTAAGCAGAGCTGGGAGTTAGGTTTTACGTTGAACACAACACAGTAAACTTTATTATGCAGCAGTTACAGGCTATTTTTATTATTTAATTTCCCTCTTCAGTCTTAGGTCTGGCCACAACTCTGCACTCTCTGAGCTTCTTGCTAATTTTGGACAGTTCCTGCAAGGGTTCTAAGTGGGGGTGATGACATGGGTGGCAGATAAGCAGACACTGAGTAGCTAGTCTTTGAATCACCATGGTGTGGGGATGGGCTGTGGGATTTCTGCCCATTCTCGGGGCCTAGGTCATGTGTTCCTCTGCCAGCTGCAGTCCCTGTGGCTGTTGCTGTGTGTCTGAGATGTCGTGAGCACAGTGGGGTTTAGCTATGGTTCTGATGCTCACGAAACTGAGTTCTGGCATTGGCTTTGGGATGTTGGAGAGTGCACATTTAGCCAGCATTCCTGTCACTGGTCCTCACTAGTAAAAGCAAAGACCCTTGATGATGGTTTCCAGCACACGAGTCAGGCACTGGGCTAGGGGCTTCATATCTTTTATCTCTTTATTTTATAATCCTGCAGCCTGATATTTCACATTTGCAGATGGGGAGTCTGAGGCTCAGAGCGGTGAAGTGACCCTCTTGGCAGTCACACACTGGGTGGCCTTGGAACTTGGACCTGTTTTGTCACCGAGGCCCTGCTCCTTCCAGAGTTCTGCATCCTTCTGAGGTTTCTTATCCTGGTTCCCTCCACAGACTCATTTTCATCTTTGTTTGGAAAAAAAAAAAAAAGGAAGGAGGAGATAATCATGGCTTGCTTGTGGTTGTGAGGGGCTCAGACTGCCTGGGAGCTGGGCCTGTGGTCACTCTGTGTCTGTGTGTACATGTGTGTCTGTGCGTGTTTGTATGCATGCAGGTCGTGTACAACGTGGGACTCTGCATTTGTCTGTTTGATATCACCAAACTGGAAGATGCCTATGTATTCCCTGGGGATGGCGCATCTCACACCAAAGGTGGGTATTGTATGTCCCTGGGGCATTGGGTTTCCTGGGGTTCAGTTTTCTGTAGCAAAAGGTCAAGCCAAAGCCAAGTCCAGTGGTACGTGCCTATAGTCCCACCTACTTGGGAGGCCGAGGGCAGGAGGATCTCTTAAGCTGCAGAGTTCAACACCAGCCTGGGCAACATAGCAAGACTCTGTCTTTAAATAAATAAAATATTTTAAAATTTTAAGATGTTAAAGCCAAAGAGATGGCCAGAGGGTGGTAGTAGCAGTCCTAGAGGTTGGGAGACCTGGGGCCTCATTCTGAATTGGCCAGGAATTGACCCGGTGACAGTGGCAGACTTTTCTGTGTCTCTGTTTCCTCATCTGTGAGGCCTGCGATGTGGACTAGGTGATTCTCAAGCCTCTTCAGCTCTGAGAGCGTAGCTCTGTGTCTGTGCCCTTTTGGTCTCATTGCTACTGGGCCGTGCCCCTGTCCAGTCCTCTCGGCTGCTCACTGCCTATGGAGAGCAGATGGAAGGGGATTAGCAGCCTGGCTGGGGGTGGGGGCTTCAATAGTGGAACACAGTGGGTAAGAGTGTGGCCCTGGGATTCAAAGCTGAACTCTGCCTCTACTAGCTGTGTGTTCTGGCAGAATATGTTACTGATCTGTGCCTCTGCTTCCTCATCTGTCAGCTGCAGTTCAGGATAAATTTTATTTTACTTTATTTTATTTTTGAGATGGAGTCTCGCTCTGTCACCCAGGCTAGAGTGCAGTGGAATGATCTTGGTTCATTGCAACCTCCGCCTCCCAGGTTCAAGTGATTGTCTTGCCTCAGCCTCCTGAGTAGCCACCATGTCCAGCTAATTTTTTGTATTTTTAGTAGAGACGGGGTTTCACCATATTAGCCAGGATGGTCTCTATCTCCTGATCTCATGTTATGCCTGCCTTGGCCTCCCAAAGTGCTGGTATTACAAGCGTGAGCCACCGTGCTCGGCCCCAGGATAGATTTTATATTCTAGGACCATTGTGAGGATTAAGGAGTTAACATGTGAAAGCTCTTTGGACAGAGGCTTGGCACCGAGTGAGCACTTTGTGGCTTATCAGGTTGGATTGTTTTTCCCTATTCCGTGGGTCAGTTGGGTGGTTTTCCTTTGGGCTGGCTGGGCTGAGGCTGGATGATCTAGGATGGTCTCACATTCTGATGGTTGGCATACCGGGGACCTGTGCTGGGCCAGCCCATCTCTGCTCCACATGGTCTCATCTTTCAGTAGGCCGGGCTGGGCTTGGTGGTTTTAAGGTTCCAAAGCTCAGCAGATAAGTACTTCTCAAGCCTCTGCTTCAATCCAATTGGCTAGGGTGAGGGGATAAGAAATAGACTCCACCTCTGGATGGGAGATAGTGCAGTCACATTGCAAAAGGGTGTGCATCCAGGGACAGGAAGGTGATCACCAGATCCTGGAAGGAAGACCAGGTTTATCCCTCATCATTAGGTGCCACCCCCTGTTCTTGCACCCTCCAAGCATGGGACCTGCTGTACCCTGCTCCTACCTGCCCCATTCTGATGGGGACCCTGCTCTCAGCTCCAGAGCAGCCCTCCTTTGTGGCCACCTTTTTTTTTTTTTTTTTAAGATTTTTAAATATTTTATTGATTTGCAAATCAGGCAACCTTCTGAGCCAGAGTCTCCCTCACTACTGACCTTTTTTTTTTTTTCTTGAGACAGAGTCTTCCTCTGTTGCCCAGGCTGGAGTGCAATAGCATGATCTTGGCTCACTGCAACCTCCACCTCCGGGTCCAGGCAATTCTCCTACCTGTGCCTCCTGAGTAATTGGGACTACAGGCATGCACCACCATGCCCGGATATTTTTTGCACTTTTTTTTTTTTTTTTTTTTTTTAAGATGGAGTCTTGCTCTGTCACCCTGGCTGGAGTTCAGTGGCATGACCTCACTGCAAACTCCACCTCCTGGGTTCAAGCAATTCTCCCGCCTCAGCCTCCCGAGTAGCTGGGATTACAGGCACCTGCCATCATGCCCGGCTAATTTTTGTATTTTTGTAGAGACAGGGTTTCACCATGTTGGTCAGGATGGTCTTGAACTCCTGATCTCATTCATGTGATCCACCTGCCTCAGCCTCACAAGTGCTGCGGTTACAGGCGCAAGCCACTGTGCTGGCCTCTTTTTTTTTTTTTTAATTACACTATCACCATTTTTGCAACTCCTTATGAAGACAGATCTCATCTATGATCATTAACTGTTTAGCTTCCCCGAAAGAAGGACTAACAGGCATTATTTAGTTCCTGGGGAAAGAACTCAACAACAATTATGAAGCAGTTCTGTTGCTGAACATTAGGACTTGAATCTGATCAAAATTCTAGATGCAAGGTCCAGTTTGGAGAAACTGTTGAGATGGAGGAGTACAGTGAATGGCACCACAGTGCTCCAGAGGGTATGTTGGGTAGTCAGGCAGATATGAGCAGGGCAGGAGAGGCCCCCACCACCAGGAATAACCCCCTTCATCAGCCTAGCCATCACCACCAGTTCTGCAATGTTTTTATCACCCGACAAACCCCACCGGTAGCAGTCACTCCTGATCTTGCCCTTCACCCAGCCCCTGGCAGCAACTAAACTGCTTTCTGTCTCTGTGGATGCGGTTCTGGACACTGCACGTGAATGGAGACGCACCCTATGTGGCTTTTGTGTCTAGCTGCTTTCACTTAGTCCCCTGTCCCCCAGGTTCAGCCACACCAGTGCGTGCTGGAATTCCTTCGTTTGAAAGGCTGCATAATATTCCATTGTGTGTCTGCAGCACGTTTTGCTTACCCATCCATCCATGGGGGACTCTGGGTGCCCAGCATTTGCTTTTGGATGTGGCTATTTCAGTCTGGGGTTCCCTGGGCGCAGGATCATGTGCTGACCCACCACCATGAGCCCAGCGCCCAGACCGGGCCTGGCACAAGCCTGGTGCAGACTCTATGAGGATTTTCTATTTTTATTTTTTAGACGGAGTCTTGCTCCATCACTCAGGCTGTAGTGCAGTGGTGTGATCTTGGCTCACTGCAACTCCTACCTCCCGGGTTCAAGCAATTCTCCTGCCTCAGCCTTCTGAGTATCTGGGATTATGGGCACCTGCCACCACACCGGGCTAATTTTTGTATTTTGGTAATGATGGGGTTTCACCATGTTGGTCAGGCTGGCCTCGAACTCCTGACCTCAGGTGATCTGCCTACCTTAGCCTCCCAGAGTGCTGGGACTATAGGCATGAGCCACTGGGCCCAGCCCCTATGAGGATTTGTTAAACCAAACTGAACATTGGGTTATGTAGGGGACAGGGTTTTTCCATCTGTGGGTAAGTGGTCCTTGGCCTCCCTCATCTGCTCTCTGGGAGATCAGCATAAGGCCCGGTCATCTTCATGGTGGCTGTGATGGCTCGTTTTCTTCCTAGGGCTGGAGGGCCATTGGCTGCCTCTCCTCGTGTCTTGCTGCCACGGGGGGCAGGGAGGGGAGGGCCAGAGGCCAGGGTCCCTGCTGTCCTGGGGGCCGTGTGGCCGACTAGATGGCTGACAGTGTTGTGGAAGCCTCTGTTTGGGATTAAAACTGTCTGAGGAAGGCAGGATTTGACCCAGTGGCCCTGTCTGGTGGGTACGGAAAGACCTGGCATCTCCCCGTGGGTTTGTGGCTGTGGGTGTGTTACCCTCTAAGCCACTTCCTCATCCTCACAGTAGGAACTCAACCGTCGGTGACCAGCAGGGGGCAGTCGTGTTTAGTCTCAGGCCAGCGTTAGACTCCCACTCTGGGACTTCCAGCAAGGGCCTGAGTGACAAGGTGACATACAGTTTCTGCCAGGGCCTGGGGTCAGAGTCTGCGATGTCGGCACAGACACCCCACCTGGTGTTTTCCCTACAGTCAGGTGAGGGGGGACCACGTGCAGCAGGGCCTGAGAACCCCTAGAGGCATTTTGGCTGGGCTGTTGCCTGCGCCTCCCAACCCGAGGGCATTTTTGGCTTCTGCCCTTTCTAGGAGCTGAAGGAGTGCCTGGAGGGAGACTGAAATAGGCTTTGGAGCCACTGATGGCTCAGAGTCTGGCCTCAGGTGTGACTTCCCTGGCAGTTTTGGGGAGTGTCCAGTTAACAGGACAGCTGCTGCTGGGGGCCATGCTGTGACCTTGCAGGAGACAAAGGGAGGGTCTGGGCCTGCAGGGGAATGTGCCATGGAGCAGCTATACAGGCCACCAGCTGTGCTGGCACCTGAGGGTGACATAGGAGAATGCTGGGGCCCCAGCCAGCATCATTGACGAGCTTCTTCATTTCCAGTCCATTTTCGCTACGTAGTGTTTCATCCATTTCTAGACGAGATTCTGATCGGGAAGATCAAAGGCTGCAGCCCAGAGGGAGTACATGGTAAGAGTGGCCCCGATGCCTCAGACAAGACTTGGGAGCATGGTGGGGGCAGATGGTCTTTGCCTATCTACATGGCCGGGGGAGGGTGCAGGTGTCAAGGCTGAACCTTCCCTTCTCATCCTCCCTTTCCTATATTATGTGGGGACCTCCATCAGCAGTGAGGTTTCACTGTGAAGCATCACTCAGGACTTCAATGGTGGGCACTGAAGCTGGTGGAAGTGACTGGATGTCTTCCGTGCCCACTGGTCCCTGTTGTGTGCAGAGGTTTTGGGGACCAGGTGCTCCGGGATTTTCCCAGGACTGCTTGGCTGTGTGGGTGTTATAGGCAGAGGCATTAGGTGGGTAAGGGGCCTAGGTTTCCATGGTGACATCTGCTCCATGGGCAGCCCCAGGCAGGGCTTGCCTGTCTAGCATCCAGACCCCAGTGTTTGACGTCTACTGGGAGCCCCCGTCTCAGGCCGTCACCTGCTTCCTTCCTTCCAGTCTCTCTAGACTTCTTCGATGACATTCTCATCCCCCCGGAGTCACTGCAGCAGCCAGCCAAGTTGTATCCTCCCAAGGTTAAAATGGTTTGTCACAGGCCTCTCGAAAGGAAGGTCCTCACTCCTTAGGATGGCCTTTGGGTCCTGTAACCTGATGCCACTGACCTCTGTGCCTACCCCCAGCCTGTGCTTTTGCTCAGAGGCACCAGCCTGTCTTGCCTCCCAAGCAGGGTGTGATGTGATGCCCATGTGCCTGTCTTGCAGTGCCATCAGCTTGGCTGTCTGGGTTGTGCACTGCACACCATTAGAACCGTGGTATCCTGGGGGCACCATTCACTTCTGGTTCACTTAGCTTAGGTTGTCCCTGCAGGAATTATCTTAAAGATCACTTCCCCTGGAGGCTTGTGCTGGTCTGAGGCCTCGCCTATGTGCCGGGTCCCAAGCTAAGTGTCCCTCCTGGGCCTCCGTTGTCCCCGTCCCACTCCTCACCTTGCTGCTTTGGGGTTGTCTGTTTCTGTGGAGCTGTCCATGAATCTGAGACTCCTTGCTGGGAAGGACTATCGTGTCACAGCTGTACCCACAGTACCCAGCACGGGACCTAGCACAGAGGCAGGACCTAACAGTGGGACTGCCACCAGAGAACGCATGGCTCCCCCATGTGGGCTCTGCTGGGAAGA